AACACAGTAAAGCTACATGGAAGATATATTTTATAATTTTGTTATTATGCTAAATCCACTTGAATGTCATACTATGGTTACATAGAGCTGACCATGAGCGAAAAATTTTAATAGTTTTCTAATATTGTTTATAATAATAATAATAATAATAATAATAATTAAGAAAACTTGCTATATCTTCTCTTGTTCAAATATTTTCGTATAGTTTCATGAAAATCTACTAAACAGATTAGTTTTACTTATTTAGATAATTCGTTATTTTTGGGGTTTTTTCGGCTCCATTCAAATAATTCGTAGTAATGTGAAATATCAGACGACAACAACGCTCATTATTACGAACGCTGTAGTTTTTCTTACTTTTTATTTTATCAAGTCACTTCATACAATACCACGAAGACGCAAGGTATTACAGCGATTGAAAGAAAATGAATAGTCAATGAAGAGAAAGAATAATAATAAAAAAACAAGGTTCAGAAAGATTGGGAATGAAAACTTTTGAAACTTTTAAAGATCGAAGGTGAAGAGATTTCCACAGGCAAGAAGTGCGAAAGATGAAACTGTTAAATTAGATTTTACTGTTTCATTTAGCTATTTCCACATTAAAATGACAACAGAATTATAATAAAGCCTGTCAATTTAAAAATTATTTCTCTAAATACACGATTAATAAAAAAAAATAGAACAGAAATATTGCTTATATTTGGCAATTTTATAAATTTGAATTAAAAATAAAAAATATGGACGAAATATTTATTAAATTGTGCTTTAAAAATTTGTTACGCAGATTAAATATTACCGCTAATGTTACAAACGCCATATGTTAGTATTATATATAAAAAGGTTGGCAAACCTTCATTACGTATTTATAATATTTTCTGATTTCTTCTGTTGATGTAGCATGAAAACCACCGTGAAAGACCACCTTTTAATTCGACGCTCGGCTACAGAGAGTTTCACAGACAAGCAAGGTTGTATTTGATTTAAAGCACATTCACTAGTTCAGATTTCCTCGAGGCTTGATAGTAAATTGAATTCTATTTAATAGGGAAAGTTAATTGAACATTTAATTTTATTTGTTACTCTTAATCCACTATCTCTTAAGATTCAGCATTTTAATTGGAAGGACTGCTTGTTTTAAAAGCGTTATATTTCAGAAATACCAATCTCCAAACGATTTTTATTTTTTTGGATAAACACATAACAAAATTTGTTATGTACGCGCACACACACACACACACACACACACACACACACACACACACACACACACACACACACACACACACACACACACACATATATATAAATACAATTATAATATAGCGCACATATATCGATGGTGTCAATGTGCGTGTGTGTGTGTGTGTACACTATAGGACAAAAATTTGGATCCACTTTCTGGGTTTAATAATTAGTAAATCTCATACATTCTTTGGTTTATGTAATTTCTGTTAAGCAAGGATGCGGAAACAGCTTTACCCCATAATACCGGCGTCATCCCAAGCAATTGGCCATTTCATTCCAAGCAATGCAATAAAACTCACTGCAATACGAAGGTCAGGGAAAGAAAGAGATGGGAGAATTAAAAAAAAAAAAAAAAAAAAGAATCCAAACGGCAAAAATGAGGATTGTTATTGCATTTAAATTTTTAAAGATCGTTGTTGTCTGGAAAGCAGTAAGCCAAAAGAGAGTTCCCACACGCGAGAAGTGTGAGAGAATAAATCTGTGTATATAATCAAAAATTCTACGGTATTAGCTTACCAATGTGCCAACAGTTTTTTCTGGGTACTTTTTGAAAAAAAAAATTTGTTGGTTTTATCAGGTTTGTTTTGTTTTGTTTTACGGCATATCAACACCTCAATGGGTTATTTAATGCCGGCGAAATTTTTATTGCTGGTAATAAATTTTTCTTCAAAAATCTATTTCTGAAAATATTTTTCCTTGAAGAAATCTATAGCTGGTCATATTTTTTTCAAAGAATGTAAAACTGTTTGTATTGCTGGTATTTTTTTAAAGTATTGCTGATAATAATTTTTCCTTCAAAAAATATTACTGGTAATAATTTTTTTTATCACAAAGTATGTTTGCACAAGTTTGGGTGTTAACTATTTTCCCATAGCTGGGACCCTAACAGTTGCTACCACCTCGGGTCAGGATGGACCTGGAAACACCAGCAATTAAGAGGTGGTTCCACGCTCCTCAAAACCTCCTGATCAGAGGCCTTGCTGTTGGACGTAGTTTATCGTCTTACCCAGGACTCGGATGTAGTTTATCGTCATACCCAGTTCGGCAGATGTATATTCAGGCCTTTCTCAGATATGTAATTAATACAGTAAAGTTCGTGATCTAGATGCCAAATAATCCCGCAATAAGTGTTAATACATTTTTGTTGGTAATAAAACTAAAAAAAATATATATATACACCGTAAAATCAAACAATGATTATCTCAATATGATCACAAAATAATCTTATTACTAATTATGCATAACTTCATTACAATGAACTTTATAATGACCTCGCTTATATAATAGTTGGCGGTTATGCTCAGGCATATGTGTTTATTCAACAGTGGCTTATATAGCAACTATGCTGAGCGGCCCATAGTTACACATTCTGGGAGAGAGACCAGTACGATCAAATCCACAGATAACGATGAATTGTGACTTAGTGCTAGCACACACATAAACGGATTACAAACGGTTCCGTGTACCCAATTTCATTCACAAGTCTAGGGTCGACTCGTTGTATGGCTTTCAGGAACATCTGAAAGGTGACGTACGCTGGGATCGCGATAAAATCAATTTCACCTTCCTGACAAATCGACCATAATGAGATTCGAATCCGGGTCTCATGGTCGAAAAGCTAACCATCAGCGTTTCACAACATTTATATAAACATTTTCTTGATTTTACATAAGCTCCAGTGTCTCTCCATATCTGATGGACTTGAATCCAAAGAATCAATACACAGGGGTGTTTCCTCATGATGACGAAGTTTCTTTCGGCTTTATTGTTAAATGCATACGACATCGGTCCTTATCAAAACTTTGTAAGATATTATGTAAACCATATTTGATTGTATATACATAATTCTATTTTGTTTATATTTACCTCAGTCTATTTTGGTCATATATTGGCTCCCCCCCCACTAATATTTATCATTCAATGAGTCTTAACAACGATAATAATAAAATAGTTGTTATATATTTGACAATAATCTTATATTATTTATTAGATATATTCATATTATTTTCATTGTTTGGTTTCTACTATTTACCATTTCAACAGAAATAATGATAATAGTAAGAATACGTGATCAATTTCCCAACGAAGTCTTGATTCCAATGTCCAGTGTAAAATATGCATGTGTGTGTGTGTGTGTGTGTATTTAAACTTTAAATTAATCATTTTGACAAGATTAAGTGATCTAATTTATGTTAATATTGCTTTGTCTTCAACTCTTGGGATAATCTTAAGAGATGTCTTTAAAATTTAGTAATTCCCACTTAGGCATCCTAGAGATGGTTTTACGATGAATGTACCCAGCCTCCTGAACTGTGTAAATATGTTTGCCTATCGCCCCGCTAATAATCGATCCTTGTATATTGAACAGAAGCAAAAGTGTATCCCTTGTTTCCTGTTTAGGATATGGTTGACAGGTTCTTCTTTCCATGACAATAATGATTTATTTGTCTTAAATGTTGTGATCAAACTGATCAGTGACTGCGACTTTTCATTATGCAGGTAACGGGTTGTCAGTTTTCTGGTTGCTTCTGGTAGTTGTGAACCTGAGCTCCCTGATAGTGCTTAGAGGAGGTACCGTGGAGTAATGGATAGCGGCTTGGATTGAGGAATCGGAGAGCCGAGTTCGAATTCCAGTCGAATTCATTACATTCACTTACGTGCTAACACCCTTGGGAAAGGTGTGAATCCTCTTTCTTCTCCCTCCAGCTATGGGTAAATAGCAGAACAGACTGGGTTCTATAGCCTTGGATGGCAACTGGTCTAGGAGAAGGAAAACTCTGAATTCAAAACCTGCTCTTAGAGGAGGGTGAATGGAGTCTGTCTGAGCCTTTGGTTGGCAATCCATTTAGTGTTGGTGTCACGGTAAAAAACACCCTTGATAGCCCTAGCGAAGCATCAAGAATTCAGCTATTTGACAAGATTATGAACTACACCAATCAAAGTATTAGTGAGTTCAATCTCGGCTGAGACGATGATGATGAGTGCTTAGAGAGGCTGCTCTGGTCAATAGTTACATAAATTCGAGGAATATATAGTGCCATATAGCGCATGGACATGTGTCACTGCATGTATTTCTGGTGGGCAACCTTGAGGTTACCTTCTGACCAGTTTGTATTGCTATATACGATAGATAGTGATAATTACAGGGCACTACGAGGTGGTGTAATGGTTAGCAAGCTTGTCTGACTAGAACAATTACGACTGAGTAGTGAGTTCGGTCCTCACTGGGTGTCCCTTACTTTCGGCCTTGTGCCACATCTTAGCTACGCTTGGAAAATCACTAGATAGTGATAATTATTTTGGCTTGTTTCTTCTTAAAACAAAATCTTCTTATACCAGATACAATGAAAAGAAATGCGTGTAAACCTGTAAACAAAAAGTCACCTACTCACACAATCTTTCTTTCTCCATTATTCGTGGCATTCGGACTAATTTCTTTTGTGCAGAATCTTTTCTCCTGGAACAGTCTCCAGATATGTTTGCATTTTGTGAAACTAATATAAATTCTTCTATTGCTACCAATAAATTCTCTGTTCTAGGTTATCTTCCTCTTTGTCGAAAAGATGCTACGATACATATGCATCGCCTCGGTGTTTATATTCGGGAACATTTCCCAGTTGCTTTTGAATCTCCAAATGATTCATTCATGTGTTCTCGACTTTCGTTATTGAACTATGTTAACTATCTCTTTGACTTTTATCGCTCTCCTTCTTCCCAAAACTGTAATATAGTAAACAAAATTTCTGATAATATAGAACTCTCTCCCCCCTCTCTCTCTCTCTTTCTCTCACTCTCTCTCTCTTTCTCTTTCTCTCTCTCTCTCTCTCTCTCTCTCTATCGTTCTCTATCCATTCAACTGTGAATTATATTGTGATTGGTGATTTTACTGATTATCATATCAAGTTGTTTAAACATTCTAATATTACTGATGTTGCAGGTATTTAGACTTTAAATGTTTCCGTTGCTCAGTTTCTCAGTCAAATAGTGGATTCTCCTACTCATTTCGCTAATAAATCTGATCAACATTTTTCTTTACATGATTTGTTCCTTAACTTCTCTCCTAGCTCTTTTATCAAGCATCACAACGGTGTCCTCTTGGCAATTCGGATCATAGTGTAGAATTTATTGATATTTCTTCTGAGTATTCAATTTAGAAAAAAACATCCAATTCACAAGACTTTTTTTCTGTTATCAGCGTACTGATTATGATTCATTTCGTGACTTGACTCGAGACGCTCCATAGATTGATATTCTTAACTTTCCTATTGAGAATTGTGCCACATGGGTTTCTTCTAGGTTTAAAACCGGCATTGATGCTTTTGTACCTTTTCGCAAATACACAATCACAATTTTCTTGGTTCACACCGGCCAGTTCAACCGCTATAGACTACTGGAATCACTTTCTCCGGGTGTACCAGCATGAGAGTTCAGATCATAACAGACGCCTATTTGTGTTTCCTCACAATAATTATAAACGTGTCCTCAAAGTCTTTGTTGATAGAATGAGGGATTGTTTGGTTCACGTGACTGGTAACAGCTTTCTAATGATGTGTTAAATAAGAGTAAATTTTCTATTCCTCCTCTCTTTACTCAGTCTGAGATGTTAACATCAACTTCTGATAAAGCAGAATGTTTTGCTTGTAATTTCTCTTCAAATTCTATTCTTGACTCATCTGGGGTAATTTTGCCCAACTTTCAACTTAGAGCTGAGTTTCTATTGAGCAATATGCATATAACTCTTTCTATGGTTTCCTCTTATTTGATGGTATCCCTACAATTGTCCTTAAGAAATATACTCCTGAACTGGCCGTTATTCTCTTTAAACTTCACAATAAATGCCTTGTTGCTTCTTGCTTTTCTGCTTGCTGAAAATCCTCTTCTGTTGTTCCAGTCTTTAAAAACTCAGACGAACCGTCTGACCTTTTTAACTATCGGCCGCAGACTTCTATCTCGTTTTATCAAAGTACTAGAGGCTCTAATTAACTCTGAATTGGTTAAGTGTCTGATCTTGCAGGGTCTTCTAAACCTTTTTTGCATTAAAGTAGTGTTCTCCCAGGGCTATATGCTTGGGCGTACATTATTCCTAATCTTCATCTCAAAAATCAACTACAATCTGTTGTTAACTGAGACAAGTTAATTATAACGCCCTAAATGAAATTGCTCTCTTCTAATCTCCCAAGAGAATCTTTTTACTTTCCACCACCAAGGCTGATTCTAACCTCCAAAAGACTGACTCATTGCATCTTCTCGGGTTAAGGTTTTCTGCTGATATGAAATTGAAAGATTTTATTCAGTCACTTTCTAGGTATTCAGCTAGGAAAATTGGTTAACTGTGTCTGCTAGAGAATTTTTCTCGTCAGAATCTATCTTACATTTATGCAAACCATTCGTTTTTTTGCTTTGATTATTGCTGCCACATCTGATCACTTGCTCCTGCTATATACTTAGAGATTCTAGATAAAATCCAAAGAAGAATCTGTAATGTTATTGGCCCTGACCTGGCATCGCGGCTTCAGTCATTTTTCCAACACCGTAATGTAGCTACTGTGTGCGAGTTTTTTTTTTATAAATACTTTCATGGTAATTGTTCTAATGAAAGTTATTCTAATGAAATTTGCTCTGTGGTAACTTGACTATATGAATTTACGCGCACTATTACATTGGTGGCAAGGTCTCATCATTTTACAGTCGAAATGGATAAATGTAACCGTAAGTTCTATGCTAAAAGTTTCTTCTCACACACTTTTCACTTGTGGAAATCACTTTCATTTTCTTTCTTACAGGTAAACTTTGATCTTCAAAAATTTAAATGCAATGTTAATTTTTATTTTCTGTCTTCATAATTCTTGTACTTTTATAATTCTCTCTCCTTAATATTATATTTTGCATTATTTTATCACTCAGTAACGCCTTGTATCTGAATGATTTGCTTGCCGTGAAATTATTAAAATATATATATATATATATATATGTGTGTGTGTGTGTGTGTGTGTGTGTGTGTGGGTGTATCGTATATATATATATATATATATATATGTGTGTGTGTGTGTGTGTGTGTATGTATGTATGTATGTATCTATATATATATATATATATATATATATATATATATATATGTATATATATGCGTACGTGCATTGTATATGTGCATCAGATTTATATTTATATACGTGTATACGTTAGATTTATATATGTATAAGTTATTTTTACCCACTTTCCAAAGGTCAATAAAATATAATAGAAGGAAAAACTATTCTTAGCTATTCGTAGACTAAGAATAGTTTTGTTTTCCGCTTGTCTTTTTTTATTCATATATATATATATGTGTGTGTGTGTGTGTGTATTTGCGTTCGTGCGTGTCCAATACACCTGATGATAGTTATCAGCCTAATGTCAAAAATATTAAAATGTTATTTTTCAATTATGATTGAATTCTAAGAATTAGTTCCAGTATCTTCTACAATTGGTGATCTTATTATTGTTATTTTAAAGCACATTCTGTCGTAACTACAATAGTAAATTAACAGCATTCTTGCCGCATAAAATGGTCGCGTATTGCTTTAATTAACCAGTCAAATATTTGAATCATTGTCACAATTTTTTTTTTTTACATGCTCGGCCGTTTTTAAATGGAAATGAAACTACGACAATTGGACGGAAGTCCACGCGTGAACACATGTCACCGGGCACGTTTATGTCTCTGTAAAAACATGTCTGCTTGCATGTCAATTGTTTGGACGTGGGTGTAAAACTAATCCGGCGCGATTGTTAACAATGAAGACAAGTGACAGGCGTTGTAGGATTGTAACCAAAAACGGGAGTGGTCGAAAAACGTCAGACTGCCCCGTCAACACTAAAGAGTTGTTACTATAGTCGCCATGATAATGACGTCGTCATGGTTACAGTAATTGGTGCTCCCATCAACAATGGAGCGAATGGTGTGAAGTGGGGATATAGACAAATGGAAGAGAAATTGAAAAGTGACGGAAGGAGAAGAGAGAAGTTTGAAGGAAAAAATTTAGCGAGAAAAAAGGGAGAGTGAGGGATTAAGAATGAGAAATAAGAAGACAAACATTTCGAAGAAAGATAATCTAACTGGATTCCTGCTTAAGTGACAGGCAAGCCAAAATAAAAAGACGAGGGAGAATAAAAATAAATCAGGAACAATAGAAAGTTTATGAATAATGTTATTAAGCCAACAAATTACACATCGATATCTACATAATGGTCAAGCTTTATCAAACGATTTTTATACATCAGCTTTTTAAATCAATGATTAATAAAACATTTTTTTTAATCTATATTCCTGGCTTATTGCCAGTCGAAGACCTTTCAGACTGGTTAGTTTTTATGTAGGTTCCTTCAAAGATTCTGTAAAAAATGAGGATACATGTTGCAAAAAATGACCCAAACTTTTCTAAAACAAAGTTTTGTCTTCAAAATTTTTATTTTATTATTAAGAGGAAAGACCAAATGATTTTTTTTATTATTAAATTACATTTTCAATCCTTTTTAGAAGCTTCGAAATTTTGGTTAAAAATTTTGTTTGTCTCATGTCAACGGGTGACCATAAATAAATATGGGAAATTTGAGCGTCATTTTGCGGTGATAAACGGTGAATGAAATTAATTCAGAAAATTTTTCTTTTTTTAGAATATATTGATTAAAATATATTTTTTTTTACATCTGTTAACTCCCACTTCCTTAATTTTATGAAAATTCGAGAAATTCATTTTTGTAGAGTGTAATGTTCATATTAGTGAAAGGACAACTTGGAGAATTTAAATCATCAATTTTTTTTTTTTTTTTGTCGAACAGAACTCCCACCTACGAAAAATCTACTCTGTAATGTAAAATAAAAAAAAATAATACTAAAAATTATTTAGTTGTAAAAGCTTTTAATTGCTTTAATGAACATTATTGTCTTTAGAAGAATACTTTTTGACGAATAAAAAATTTTTGCAAGAATTGTTTTCGTTTTTTAAAGTTTATAAAGTTTTAAATCTTTGAAAATTATGTATTAGGTGAAATTTTCATTAAGAAAAAACTATGTTTACTAATCATAAATGTAAAAGCTTATTATAATTCAGCTACTGCAGTATTTTAAATAGAATTTTGAATATGTGCGTGTGCATAAACGTAGCAATGTTTTTCATTTTTTTTTAAACTTTTCTAAATACATGAATTTATCAGAAAATAAGAGAGATAAATATAGTAAATTTAAGATATATAGTTAATTTTCTCACAATGGCGGGATGTGACATAAGTGTGGAGGTGGGTTCACTTTGACTAAGGCCAAAATCCTTCCCTCTTTACTGTAAAGAGGGAGGTTCTCCAGCATGGTTGAAATCTCCGGGACCAGGCATTACCCGCAATGATTTTTCACACGCTTTCCGAATAAAGAGACATAACAGAGAAGTACAGTGTTGCCTGCCAGCCAGCCAGAAGGCTAACAAACTCGCATCCCCACAGCATTAGGATGTTTGTTAACGCTAATCGTTAATGCATGAGAGTGGTCGCGAGGACTTGGCGATAGGTACTATCGCCAAGTCCTCACGACCACTCTCATGCATGCGTTCGTATCCTCCAACCCTTTATTTACTGTAAGGAGAGAGAAGCTGCTGTATAGTTGAAATCCCCGGCAACAGGCTTTCCTGAAAGTGTATATGTAAACTGCCAGAAAACAGAAAGTCGGCAGAGAGATGATGAAGAGATATTACGCTTTGATCCTTGCATGAATGCCCGGGAACGTACGTTCGTTATTTATTCACCTCCTCACAGTAGCAGTATGTTGTTTTTTTTTCATGTGGGTCCCCCATGGGCCAAAGACAAAAATTAT